AAAATTCGCCGGAAGCAGAGGGCCCCCTCTGTGCCAAGGGCCCCTGGGCACGTGCCCACGTTGCCTGCATGGTAGATCCGGGCTTGGCCAAATGAAATCAGATGAGAGGTATTTCGGTTGGATTATCGTTTGGAGTGTGCGCGCGGTTGGAAGCTGCTCTGATGAATGTCACCTGAGCTCATCCATAATAATGCACTAAGCCTGCCCCTCGCACGGATGTGCGCGCGCGCGCTCTCTGGATCTATAAGGCGCTGAACAGCAGCCAAAGGACAGAGGTTCTCTGCGCTCCTGTGTGCGCACTCATATTGGCGCTGCGTAAAAGCCGTCTTTACGCATGCGAACTTCATTTACTGCTACTGAATTTATGACATCACTAACTTATTAAGCAGGGGGGGTGTCTAGTGAGCAGTTTGCAGGTTTTAGTACTGTTGTTGGGGAAGATGAGCGCGCCTGGATTCTGGCACCGGAATCCCATCTTTGTGCTTTAGCGCGTCTTTCCGTGCAGCCGAATGGATCCATTATTTAACTCCTCCGATGGGCCAAACGGGACATTCCGCTCCAACGGAACCGGTAACGGGACGGCCTTCTGGAACCAGTTCGTGCAGCCGGTCTGGAGGATCGTCCTCTGGGCCATGGCCTACAGTTGTATAGTTGTCGTATCCGTGGTGGGCAACGTGACAGTGATCTGGATCATCATGGCGCACAAACGCATGAGAACCGTCACCAACTATTTCCTGCTCAACCTCGCGTTCGCCGAAGCGTCCATGTCCGCCTTCAACACGGTGGTCAACTTCACCTACGCCGTGCACAACGAGTGGTACTTCGGCCTGGTCTACTGCCGCTTCCACAACTTTTTCCCCATCGCCGCTGTCTTCGCCAGCATCTACTCCATGACGGCCATCGCCCTGGACAGGTAGGAAGACGACCTCCAGCAGATTCAACTCTGAACAAAAGAACAACATAAAAGAAGATATCATATCATCACTGTCAAACTCATTATAGACAAAAACAAAAAAATCTTTTTTTTGCTCAAATCATAGGCGGAAGTAATTATTTCACTTTTCAAATAATTACATACAGTTGTCCATTTAGTGCACAGTGCCTCTCAAATACCCACTCTCTGTCAGAACTAGATGTGATATACTGCTTCATAAGTGTTTAAACCAAGGGCGTCAGAAGCATCCGTAATGTGTGTGTGTGTGTGGGGGGGGGGGGGGGACACAATGATGTGTGTAGGTGTGTGTGTGTGCGCGTGCACGTGTGTGCACGTAAAACAAGGTGTTCACTAGTGAACAAAAAAGCAGCATTTCACCTAGATTTCCTTTAGTTCCACACATTTAAAACATGTTTCTCACCAAGTTTGTGTAAATTCATCTGTGTAAAAAAGTTAAATCTGGTCCTCTGGACATTCAAAAAAAAAAAAAAGCAAAACAACAAAAAAATGTAGAAACGTTTCGTCTCTCATCCGAGACATTTCCTCAGTCTGAGGTGCTGTATTCAGCTCAGTCTCTTAATTCAGCTCAGTCTCTCTCAGAGAAGAAACCCAAACAGGACTCCAGTCAGCCATCAGGTGAAAAGGAGGAACCCAGACCCAGACCAGTGGTCATTCCGTATGTTGAGGGAGTATCAGAGAAACTGAGACGTTTATTTTCTAAACATAACGTCCCAGTGGCTTTTAAACCCCAAAATACATTAAAGACTGGTTCATCCCAAAGATCCAGTCCCCCGGCACAAACAGAGTAATGTTGTGTATGTTGTTCAGTGTCAGGAGGGTGATCAGTCTTACATCGGGGAAACTAAACAGCCACTGGCCAAAAGGATGGACCAGCACAGAAGATCAACATCATCAGGCCAGGATTCTGCGGTCTACACTCATCTCCAGGCCAGCAGTCACTCTTTCAAGGATGAAGATGTTCACATCCTGGACAGAGAGGAACGATGGTTTGAAAGAGGAGTAAAGGAGGCCATCTTTGTGAAAAGAAATCGTCCATCATTAAACAGGGGTGGAGGCCTACGTGTTCAACTGTCCCCCTCTTACAATGCTGTGATTGCTAGTATCACTCAGCCCTCTGTGAACAGTAAACAGCCATCAGGTGCTAATGATCCATTGTTAGGCTGATGGTCCTTCTTGAGCATGTGATCAGCTGGTTCTGGTTGTCAGCAGCAAACTGGTTGATCCACTCTGAGAAGGTGCTATTTAAGAGACTGAGCTGAATACAGCACCTCAGACTGAGGAAGTCTCTTGGATGAGAGACAAAACGTTTCTACATTTTTTTGTTGTTTTGTTTTTTTTGAATGTCCAGAGGACCAGATTTAACTTTTTTTAGATTTTTCTACCTGGATTATTGAACATGCATCAGGAAATTCATCTGTGGATTTTAAAGACATTTTAACTTTAATACACTTTAATACAGAGCCTCATCAGCACTATTTGTCTTTATAGAGAAATAAAAAACGTCCCCACTGGACTTTTTTTACTTGTGTTCAACACTCCTCATCTAAATGATGTTTCTCATGAAGCTTGAGGACAATAAGGTGTGGGGTTTAAAGACATTTCAACTTTAATGCACCTGAACACACCACATCTCTTACACCTGCAGCGTCTTACAGTGTCACAGTTACTGCTGAGATAACATGCTACAGACGTAGCGCTGCTCTCAAGCATCCTCCTAACATGAATATTTGTTTCTGATCAACGCCCTGGTCAACCACTGCTCGCACTAAGCTGCTAAACTGGCGAGCAAGTAACACAGGTACCTCCATCTCCTCCACCTGTGCGCGTTTTCTGCCGAGACAAGAGGCAGGAAGGGACGTTGGAGAGTTGGAGGTAACCAGGAAAACCTGGAGTGGAGTTTTAGTGGCTCAAGTATTCTCCTCTTAATCAAGTGGAATGGATTTGTTCATGAAGAAAGAGAAACTGCGCCGCCTGAACTAATGTTTTATAGTAAAAGTGTGTGTGTGTGTGTGTGTGGGGGGGGGGGGGGGGGGGGGG